ATACCTTTGCCAAGGAAACCCCAAAAGGGGTCACAAAGAGTTGGCTAGAGACTGAAACAGCTCAACAGCAGATAGAGAGAAGTCAGCCACGTGGGAACCATCTATCGCTGTCCACAGGCTGACTCTACATGATCAGAGTCTGGAGGCCCGTGGGCTGTTTTTGTGCCAAGACGTTGCCCCATGATCTGTCTGTGTCTTTGCTTATAAGCCTTTGTATCGATGCTGCAGATAGAACCCGGGCATTTACCTTCAGCCTTGCCCCAGATGACTTTGTGATGGTGCCTGAGTAGTCTGGGTCACCAACTCCACACCCCACACAGCATCAGCTAGCCCACCAGTGTCTTCTCTTCCATGTCCCCTCAGGAGTGTGACTACTGACTACCAGAAGGCCAGGGAGGCCCAGCAGACACTTCAGGACACGGGACACCTCCATCGTCTATGCCCGCCTCACACAGCAGCTCTTGTCCTCTGGCTCATTCCCTCCCCTTTCATTATATACATACTTTGATGTTACACATCTGGGTGAAAAATAATAGAAAAGACAAATCAAGAACCAGACATCCAGTCCTCAGCCCTGGACTCCTCCCACTCTCCACTGCCTTTGCTGTTGAATGAAGCTAGAGAAAATCATGGAAACCCATTGACTGGGTCCACCACAGATCTGTGATACCATCTCAGCTGGGCACTTCCTGAGGCAAGGCAATCCTTTTACCCCCCCCCCCCAATGACTCACTATCCCCCTCACGACAGTGACTCAGAGTCGAATGGAACTTTGAGGCTAGCCTCTTCTTTTCTGGGCTAAGAATCCTAAGTTCTTTCAAGGTCCTTTCCCGTCCTGGTTGCCTTACCCTGGACACGCCACAGCTCATCAATGTCCTTTCCAAAAGATAATTCCCAGAACTGAATGCTAAACTCCAGATGTGAGTAAACAGAGCAAAGTACAGTGGGATTATGGCTAATACTCTGTTCATTTTTTTTTTTTTTGCTACTCAATGATATTGTTAACTCATTGAGTTGGTAGTGCACTTATATTCCTAGATCTCTATGAAATGAGCTTTTGGCTAGCCATGCCTCATCCGTGTTGTTCTTCAGAAGCTGATTATTTTGAACCCAACTGTGAGACTTTCCATTTATCCTTTTTGTATGTCATTGGATTAGCATGGACCTTATCTTGCTAGCTTGTTGAAAGCTTTTTGCATCTTGACTCTGTATTCTCTTGTGTCCTTCTCCTGGCTTTGCGTCATAGGTGCTTGATGAGAACCTGACCAAGGGTGTGATGTCTGAACAAGTGGAAAAAAGAAGACAGATGGCAGAGTTATCATTGAGGTGGAATTCACAGGCGTTAGTTTGGAGATGGGAGGTTAGGGAGAGATGTTGTGAAGCCAGCTGATGAGGATCATGGTCCTCCGTAGAAATAGGGACATTTCTAAGACCAGTGAATTTAGGGGGATGGTTGTAAGTTCTCCTTGGTTTTGTTGATGTTTAAACACCTTTGAGGATGTTTTGGGGGAAGTGTTCAGCAGAGAGTTGGAGATGTGGGACAGTAATTCAGTAGACAGATGAGACCTGAATTGTTTAAGAGTCATTTGTAGAAAGACAATAATTAAATCTATAGTAATTGATTGGTAGTTGGTTTTTTTTATAAGGATGAGGGAGATCTGCACATGTTTGTAAGCAATAGCAAATGAGTTTGAAGATAAAAGTCTGAAGAGAGAGAGGAGGGCAGCTCTGAGTGGAGGGGGGAGAACTGAGGGTGCAAAAGGTCTGGCTTCCATTTTCCTGGTAAAGTAGGAGGCAAAGTCGCCTACTGAGAGGGGAGATTGATGGGATTGCCTGTGGAGCTGGAGGAAGGAGAAGGTTTGGAACAGCTCTAGTCGGAGAGAGAGTCAGTAAGGAAAGAATAAAGGATTTTTGTGCAGCATTTAGGGTGTGGTTGCAATATGATGAATTTGTAGCAGACCCAGTCATCAGGGTTTTGTTCCTCTCATGGCGTTCAGCTTTGGGGGAATGTGATGCAAAAATGGTTAAGAACCCTTGCCTTCCGGATGCTCTTCTAACAAGGTGTCCGCTGTGCATATCCCCAAATCATACAGGATTCCCTGAAAGACAGTGCAACCAAGTCAATTTTGTCCAGTAACCCACCGATTATTAATATCAAGCAAGGTAAAAAGTAGGGGAATGCATGTTTGTCCACATTGCTCCCCATTGTTGCATAGGGGCTCCCAGTGTGATTCTGAGACAGGGAAGGATACCCCGTAAATGGTGAGGTCCTCCAGGGGCTCCGTTTTATCGATGATATTACATGCAGACCCAGAAGATTTGTAGAGGCGGACAAGCAGGCAACAGGCAGCTGACAAGCATTTAAGTGCCTACTAACGTTACACACTGTGCTAAACAGGTCAAGATAAAAGAAAGGTAAAACACAGCCCCTGCTAAGGAGCCCCCAGTCTGACGGGGAGACAGCACGCACAGGACTACGTACAAACAAGGTGCAGACAGGATAACCTGGAGATGGGTTCAGAGGGGACTGACTGGCATTAAGGAGGGCTAAGAAAGGCTTGGTGCAGAAGGGTTGACTTTAGCTGAGATCTGAAGGAAGCCAGGCAGATCATGAAGTAGAGATGAGGAGGGAGGGCATTCTAGGCCCCCGGGGAGAGCCGGTGAAAATGCTCAGACTCAGAGGAGCCCCGTGTTACTGGAGCTTGGCATACATGGAAGGGAGGAAGATAGGAGAAGACTGGAAAGGTAGGAAGGAGCCAGGTTAGGAGGGCTTGAAAAGCCAAACCGATTTTTATATTTGGTCCTGGACTTAATAGGGGCCCCTGGGATTGATTGAGTAGGGGTATTACACAGTCAGACTTGTGCTTTAAGATCAATGTGACAACTGTGTGGAGGAGAGCGAGGCATGGGGTCACTAATCACAAGGCTATTGTAGAAGCCCAGCTATAAGGTGATGAAGGCCTGTGCCAGGGTAGTCTCAGTGCCAAAGGCAAGAGGGGGTCTGCGCGAGAAATGTTACAAAGGCAGAAACAACTGGGTTTGACAAGTGATTGGATGTTGGGGTAAGAGTCAATGATAATGTAGCTTGTGAGCCAAGGGGGCAGGGAAGATGGTAGTGCCCTTGGCAGTAATAAGGAAGTTAGGGAGAGGGAGGGTTTTCAGGGAAAGATAATGAGTTTAGTTTTAGACACATTGAGTTTAAGATGTCTATGAAAAATCTATGTCGAGATGTCCAATAGGCCGTTGGAGATGTGAGAGAGGTAAGGGCTGGATAGAGAGATCTGAGAATCATCTGCATGGAGGTGATAGTGGAATCCAGTGGTACGGTTTAGCTTCCAGGATGAGATCTATGACCCTTAAGTGTGTTGAACTAAAGGATCCTAAAGGATGTTTCTTGTCCAAACTATGGCATGTAATTGGATGGACATCTCTGGAGTTTGTATGTATGTATGTATATGTGTGCATATATGCATAGTGTATAATTACATATATGGATACCTATATCTTGCACAGGTACTATAACTAGATAATTAGCCAGACCCAGAATTAAGGAGAAACTGGAGAGCAGAATGAATTGCCTCTGGGAAATAGCAGAGTTCTCTTAATGATTCTCCATGAAATTAAGGGCCATCTTTTTAATGACCAACATCTTCTAGTGATATTTTGTGGCTATTAGTCATGGAATGCCACTGTCTTTAAATAAGTGAAGTCAAGGATGACTCAGAGAGCAGTGGGCATGCCCGCTGGGTGTGAGCACCTGTGACACATTTCAGATGAGGAAGTATGTGAGAGGAGCAGCTTAAAGTATGTCATAAGGAAAGTGTATGACTTGGAAAAAGATGAGCTGGTCCTTGGTAAGGCTTGAGGAACCACCAGTAGAAAGTCTAGGCACCATTGGACTTCATCCCTCAATGTCAGTGGTGCTAAGGGAAGGCCCTGGATGCTTTCATGTCCCTTTCTCCCCACCACACCCCCATCATGGAGATTTTACAGAGAAAACCACGGGGTCCCAAGGCACACGGGCTGGACAGCCACAGATGAGGGGTGATCTGGGTGATTGCAGTGATTAGCCCATCAAGAAGATCGCAGAATCATCCAGGTGCCAAAGAAGTGCTCCTATTGAATCTCAGGGAATGCAAAAGTTGTAACAACAGGATGAAAATTCAGAAATTCAAACAGGCCTTTTTGCAAGTGTTCCTAAAGTGAGGCATCGCAACTGATACGAACCCAATGGCGTAAGCCCCGAATATTGCAATGCCTGTCAAGCCGGTTCACTTCTCCCAGGACTTCTGCTATCTAGACAGGGCCCATGCCGGCTTCCTCCAGGACCAGGCGAGTTCTGGGAATTCTGGAATCAAAGTTCTCAGTTCTCTGCGGTGCTTATCTGTGAAGGCAAAGCAAGAGAGGGCCCACCCAGGTATTCTGCTTCTTAGCATTTACATCTCTTGGTGTCTCAACTTTTCTCCAGTTGCGTGTAGTCTGGACACTTTCTCAACAGCCTGGGGGTGGTCAGTGAAGTGAGAGCTCGTACTCTGGGCAGGTAGTAACAGGTGATATGGTGTAATTGCAACATTCAGTTTCCAGTAAACATTGCATATCGTAATATCATAGACCATCCTATAATATTTGTGGACGTGGTAAAAGACTATTACACAATATATGCAAAGTAAATATAAGTTAGTAGTAACATTAATGTTGTACTTTACCTAGTGCTTTGGAAACGATTGGGTTTTTTTATTCTTTTGGAATTAAAATTTGTTTTTTATTTATTAAATTGATTTTGCTTGCCATTTTGAATTATTTGGTAGACATATAAATATAGCTTCTCCTCTCTCTCTCTCTCTCTCTGTCTCCGTCTCCTCTGCCCTCTCACCTCTCCTCTCCTCTCTCTCTCTCCCTCTCCCTCCCTCTCTCCCTCTCTCTTTCTGTCTCTCTCTCTCTCTCTCTCTCTCTCTGTGTGTCTCTCTCCTCTGCCCTCTCTCCTCTCCTCTCTTTTAAAGGAATGAAATGTTAATCCTGGGGCACTGATGTTTTACAATGCCTGATCAAGACAAAAAGGTGAAGACCACAGAGAAATCAGCAGATAAGAAACAACAAGGAATCTCCACTAGGTACAGTACACTGAGCCCGGGGAAGGCTTGGCTTGAGCAGTCACTCCTTGATAAGGGAACCAGTTGCTCAAGTTTGGTTCCTTAATGAAAAATGCGGTTAGAGTCGCCTGGCAGCTGTTACTCTGGGTCACAGAAGTGACCGAAACTTGTGCTGCTGTCAGGTGTCCTAACATGCGTGAAAGTTGGAAGGTACAAAGTCACCCTGCCAAGGGGTTATGTCATCAGTAATCGGTAATGTGACCTTTACAGCTATTCACAGACGCGGCTTTGTTAAGTTTGTGTTATTATTCTTTATCCTAGGGACTACTCAGATCTTAAAAGACTTCGGTGCCTGTTAAACGTTCAATCAAGCAAACAACAGGTATTTTTTCAATAGTGATCTGGACAACACTATGGTAACATGAGAGAATGCATTTTATTTTAAACAGACTGTGTTTAATTGGTGTAGGGAGTTCCCAGGGAGACCCTCCCTCTACCAGTGCAGTCTGGTCCTTGCTCCACAACATGAGCCTTTGAGAGTTGCTGGGGCACTGAGAGATGAAATGACTGGCCTGGGGTCACTCAGGCAGGATATAGTAGAGGCCAGAGAGAGGTTGGAAGGTACATTAGAGAATGTCAGATGCAGTTTCCTTCTCCTGTCCTCCCCTCCTACAGCCTCCCCAAAAGGGAGCCAGTTTCTTCTTGAACACTTTCAGTGGTGTGGGGCTCAGTACTGCCCAAGGCGGCTCATTCCTTTTTTAAACACCCCTAATTACTAAAATGTTCTGACGTTGAGCTGAAATCTACCTCCCTACAAATTCCCACCCTCGGTGCTGCATTGGGAGCTCTGCACTTGGCATGCCTTTAGATGGTTATGGTGGCTACTCCATCACTTATTGGTCTTTCCTTTCTCAGGCCAACCACCGTCACTTCTTTCAGCTGTGACTCAGTAACATGGCGTCCTTGCCTTTCCTGGTGTCCCTCCTTTGCATCTTCTCTAGTTTCTCAGTTGGTTCCTGTTGTTTTCTATTCCTCTTCAAAAGCAGCTTCCAGACAGGAACCCACCGGCCCAAGTGGAGAGTATGGAACCACTGCTGCCTTTCTTGTTCTGGGGTCTCTATTTCTAATCATGTAGCCTAATTTTGGGGAAGCTACTTCACACTGTTGGCTTGGATAAGGCTGAATGTCTGCTAAAACTCATAGCCCTTTTTCACATGAAATGCTTTTAAACCAAGTGTTCTTTTCATTGTACATTTGCATTTGATATACACTATTGTACACATACACACACACACACACACACCCCCACACACACATATACACATACTGCAGGATTTTACAAATAATCCCAATTAAATTTTACCCTGTCAAGTTTGTCCCCTTGTTCCAACCTATTCTCAGGTCATTTTGAATCCTGATTCTCTTACGCAACACAGTGGTCATCCCTTCCAGCTTCTTGTTATTACTCTCACCCACTAAATGAACTCCTATTTGGGCTACATGTTACAGAATAATTTTAGGAAAGTACTTTAGCCTGAAGTTGTTATTGCTCAGTTGTGTCTGACTCTTCATGACCCTGTTTGGGGTTTTCTTGGCAAAGATAGTGGAGGGGTTTGCCATATCTTTCTCCAGCTCATTTTACAGATGAGGAAACTGAGGCAAACAGGGTGAAGTGACTTGCTCAGGGTCACACAGCTAGTACGGGTCTGAGGCCAGATTTGAACTCAGGAAGATGAGTCTTCCTGACTCCAGTCTTGGTACTCTATCCACTGTGTCACCTAGCTTGCCCCTTTAGTCTGAAGTACTTGGGCTAATTTGAATAAGAAACCTTATCCAACTTTCTTTGAATTATAAATTCTGAAGCAGTGCCCTACCATGAAATATTTTGATATCATTTTTATCAAAGGCCTATCCTGTTTTTAGAGAGAGAGGAGAATGTTCAGCCCAGGAGGGTCTCCTTCCTGAAGCTACTCAGGCCAAGAGAAGGAAGACCTCTGATTAATTCAGAGAAGCATTTCGTGACCAGAGTGAAGGGAGGATCCGTAGGGGAGAGCTTAAAGAACAACTGAGTGGGAGCAATTGCTGATCAGGTGTCTGCTGGGTTCAGTTCTTAGCGGTTGCTCCAGTTTCCTCTGAAGCTATGTCATTACTCCTTAGGGAGCAGTAGTGTCCTATCACGTTCATGGACCCCAATTGGTTTGGCTATTCCCCAAGAGGAGATCATCCCATTAGTTTACAATTTTGGGTTCTCAAGAAAAGAGCTACTAGAAATGTTTTTGTGCATGTAGGTTTTTTCCTGTTTCTTTGATTTCTTTGGGGTATAGGCCTACTTATGGGGTAGCTGGGTCAAAGGTTAAGCATATTTTAATAACTTTGGGCATGGTTCCAAGTTTCTTTCCAGAATGGGGGACCAATGCCCTGTACCAGCAGCAGTGCACCAGTGTGCCTCTTTTCCTGTAGCTCCTCCATCATTTATCATTTTCTTCTTTTTGTCATCTTTTCCAGACAGATCTTTGAATAGGGAAAAAGAAATGAAATTTTTGTGGAATCATACTTCAAAGCACCCAGCCAGATGGAGGCTGTGGATGATACTTTCCTAATATGAATAAAAACTGGCACAGTGGCAAGATAGTGTGATTAGCACAGTGCCTGGCACATAGTCAGTGCTTAATAAGATGCTAGTTGACTAGTGAAGAGTGACTTCAGTTGACTCAACATCTGATAGAAATCTCAGACCACTGAAAGTGGATTTTTTGATCAAATTTTGACTTTTCTACAATTTCCTACTTCAGCAGGCAGATGAACCAATGAGAGGAATTGTTACTTTGGGCTCAGATGATCAGTTAATATAAAATATTCAGAATAATGAAAAAGTCATTTCAAGATGAGATGTGCTAACAACTGGGGTGCTGGGAAATTTCTTTTAAACAACTGAGCCTTAAAGAGAGCTGGGGCCCAAGAGGTGCAGGTCGGAAGAAAGAACTTTCTTGATATGGAGAATTGTCAGAGAGGAGGGGAATAGGATGTCATTTAGTAGGGACAGAAAGTAGGCAAGTTAGTCTGGTGCAGAATGCCTGTGGGGAGTAATGGATAATCAGCCTGGAAAGATAGGCGGGAGCCAAATTGTGAAGGACTTTAAAAGTCAACAGAGCAGTTTTATTTGAGTCTAGAGTTAATAGGAAGTCACTGAAGCTTCTTGACCAGGGAAGTAACAAGGTCAGACCTATATTTTAGCACCATCTGTTTGGCAGCTGCAGTGTAGGCTGAATTGGAGTAGGGAGAAGTTGGTTGTCGGGAGACCAGTGAGAAAAATCATTGCAATAATCCCAGTGAAGGGAGGTTGAAAGCTCAAACCAGGTTAAATGGCAGTGCGAGCAAAGAAAGGGGAGTTAGATTCACCAAGACTAGACAACTGATTGGATATGGGGGTGGTGGTATTGGTGAGGAAGAATGAAGAATTGACCACAACTCTGTAGTTGTAGAACTGGGAGACTGGAAGAGGTCATTAGGAGGTGTTAGGAGGTAGAGGGGGCCAAAACCTGTTGTGGGCGTGTGGAGTTGGATGTCCTGTGGGGCAGACCCTGCAGGCTCTTGCTGATGGGGGACTGGATCTCAAAATAGGTGTCGGGGCTTGATATATAGATTGGGGAGTCACTTGTACAGAGATTCATGATGGATGAATTTCTGTAAGCTGATGGGATCACCAAAGTAAGGGAATGTAGAGAGAAAAGAGAATCCACCCTCAGGGGACATGCCCAGGATGCTGCTGCGGCCGTGAGGTGGAAAAGAAGTGGTCAGACCGATAGGGAACCCGACGAGGGTGGTGTCATGAGAACCCACGGAGGAGAAGTGTGTATCCACATGGAAGGGGTCAGCAGTGTCAGATGGTGTAGAGAGGTCGGTCTTGCAAGATAGATCATTACTGACTTTGGAGACAGTCATTGCAATTGAGAGGTGTAATCAGAAGCCAGATTGCAAGCTGAAAATTGAGTTAGAGGTAAGAAAAAGGAGGCAGGGGTAATAAATAGCTTTTACCTTATATTCTTCCCACCTGGGATTCTGTGATTATGTGATTCCTTATGTTAAAATTTCCAGTTCACGTTGGTTTTCATCCATAATCTATGCCTCAGACTCCTGAGCCTCTTTTCTATTACTGCTGAGCCCTGGCTCTATTATTGCCTTTACTTTTATGCTGTGCCTTTTGACCAACATAGACTCAACAGTGTTCCACTCCTAACCTTCGTAAGGGCATGGCAGTGATCCTGGGTTCTTCAAGGCTCTGCCGACAGAGCGTCAGCTCTGATAGATTCTACCGTGCTGGGGAGTGTTGGAGTCCACTCCTAGAAACAAACTCTGGCACTCGCCTAGCATAGTATGGAGAAAGTGCCACAGTTAGTCTGGTCATCTGGTAATTAATTCTTTGGTTCTGGCAACGCAACAAACAAGTACAAATGCAAAATGGCTCTCAGTCCTGCTGCCCCCCTCCCCCTTTTTTCTGGCACAGTGACAGAAAGAGATTAGAAGCCTCAAAGAATCTCACATTTTAGACTGCCTGTAAACATAGTTCTTAAAAATCTAAATATAGTATGTTGATCCAGAGATTAGTGTATGGACATAATCCTAGGGGAGATGAATCATATCCATCTTGACATTTTTATGGTTACAAAACCAGAAGATAAGAGGAACACGTAGTTCCATGGAAAGATGATTTCCAGAATCTCCCTGCCCGGGCAAGTGCAGGAGTCAGGGGTCAGACCAGTGGTAACAAGAACACATTTCATGTAACGTTTGGGTCATCTCATATTGTGAGGCTCCTGGTGAGCGTTTGTAAAGAGACCACCTGGGGAATGAGTGCAGCTTATGTGCCAGAGTCCTTCCTTTATGAATTTGGTGGGACCTTTCAAATGAAATCTGCGTCTTTTATGATACTCAGTGACTTCAATGCAGAGATGAGAACCGTCAACCAACGAATCAACAAGCATTTATTAAGTAAGTGTTCACTGTGCCAAGCACTGTGCTGGACACTGAGGATACAGATACCAAGACTGAACCAATTCCAACTCACAAGGAGCTCGAATCCTAATGGACAAGACAAAAAGCCCATATAAAAGTATATATAGAATATAAAAGGCAACAAAAACCAAGTAGGTAAATATAAAGTAGTTTGGGAAAGAAGGCACAGACCATTGGGAGGAGGGGTGGATCAGGAAAGGTTTTGTGTAGAAAGATGTATGAGCTGCAACTTGAAGGAAGATGGAATCTGTGAAGTGAAGGTGAGTAAGGAGTCCATTCTACGTATAATGGATAACAGGGCAAAGAGATGGAGATGGGAGATGGATAGGTTTGAAGAACAGAGAGAACACCAGTTTGGCTGGCTCACAA